CACGTCTAAATTTACCAGACCAAATCAATATTTTTTGTAAATGAACGCACCGTGTAAGAATTAGCTTTAAATTAATAAAGAGCATATTATTTCCTATTACAGAGCCGCGAGATCCTGCTCTCTTATCCTCTTATTTTATACCCTGAATTAAATGCACTGTAATATATCACCAAAATTAAAAACTCCTCTAATTTAAAATTTAATCGCCACATTAACATAGTCTTAGGTAAAGAACTAAATTTTTTTAAGTTTTATCAAATGCAATACTCAATTTTTTTTTCAATCAGTTTCCCACACAGCAATTACATATACTAGTATTTTACTACGCTCCAAGAGACACTTCTATTTTTGACATAAAGCTCTTGGTTGCTAAAAAATTTACTGATGCTGAAAAAATTAAAAATCTAGAAAATCTATGAAAACCAGGTAAGAACTCAGTATTTCCTTTTACTCAACATGGCAAACCAATTAAAATTTCAATTTGGATGGTTAGAAAATTGAAATTGGCTAACTTATAGTAAAATAGAAGACGGTGTTTACTGCAAATTTTGTGTTTTTTTTTCCAAATGTTGAGGTGGAAAGGGTAGTCAGCTATTAGGCTAGCTTTGCACCGCAACTTTTAACAAATGGAAACACGCTTTAGAAAAATTTTCTACACACAAAAAACTAAATACCATCAAAGTAGTATAATAGGTTTTCCACAAATTTTGTCAATTATTACAGGAAAATCAGATTATGTTTACCATCAAATACATAAATCTGAAAAAATCTAGAAAGAAAATAATCAAAAAATAATAATCTCTGTGATCAATTTGGTAATAGTGTGTGGTAAACAAGGCATAGCTCTTAGAGGTCATCGCGACTCTGGACCACTGAATATAGATGAACCATTAATAAATGAAGGCAATTTTAGGTCATTGTTAAGATTTTTTTTTAAGGCTACTATTATATCTGGTGATGAAAGTTTTAAGTTAGTCAAAGAAAATTGCAGTAAAAATGCTCTATATATCAGCTGGAAAATTTAAAATGAAATAGTTCATATTTGTTTTGATATTATAACTTCAAAAATTGTAAATAAAAATAAATAACACTACGTTTGTTTCAATTATAACTGATATATCAGGTGTTGAACAATTCACTTTATGTGCTCGTTATTATGACGTAAACGAAAAAAATGTGTGAGATTTTTTTTAAATTTTTCCTCGTGAATGATATTAGTGGTCAATGCTTAGCAAATCTTATTATTGCTGAGTTAAAAGGCTTAAATATAGAAATAAAAAATTTATGGTGTCAAGTTTATGACTGTGCTGCAATTATGAGTGGAAATTTAAATGGTGTCACAGCTTTAATTAGAAAAGAATATCTGAGTATCTGTAATATCTGCATTATACATATATTATAGTGCCCATAATCTCAATATGTCCGTATCATATGCTTGCAATATTTAAGGAATAAGAAACACTGGGTACTATAGAAGCGTGTTACAATTTTTTAAATACTCCGAAACGAACCCTAACCTAACATTTTTTTAATATACATCTGGCCGAGTTGAGAAAAAAAAGAATCTGTTTCAAAAAAAGAAAAACTTAAAAGATTTTACCCAACTAGGTGGCTTGAACGTTATAATTCAATAGAAATGTTTAATGAATTTTTCCCTGCAATTATTTTTCGTTTGGAAGAAATGATTACGTGGAAAGATATTGATATTGATACATCGAGTAAAGCTAATCAACTGCTTATAGCATTGCATCGTCTGGATTTAATGAAGTACTCGGTATTCTCAACTATATTTTTCATTATACGCGGTCTCCTTGCAAATATTTACAAAATTAAAATATTGATTTGATAAAAGCTGTTGGACATATTAATCTAGTAAAAAATCAATTAAGTTGTATTAGGGCAAACGCTACTTCTGAATTTAACAAATTATTTGCTGAGATTAATAAAAGATTAAATAATTTTGAACTTACTATTGAAATGCTTAAATTAACTAAGCGTAAAAAAAACCGAGCTAATATTCCAAATAAAGATCCTGAAGAATAATTTAGGATTAATTTATTTCTACCATTTCTTGAATTGTTTGTACAACAATTAAATGATAGTTTTGTTAATCATCAAAATATAATTTGTGGATTTCAAATTTTAATTATAAGTTGTATATATATGTATATAAGCTATTGCAAATACTTATCACACTTCCAATTACTTCATGTGAGGCGGAGATATCATATTCCACACTTAAAAAAATCAAAAGTAAAAAATTCCACATCAGAAATAATACAGGTATTAAACAGATTAGCTGCTCTCAGTTTCCATTAAGAAGTAAGTGTAATACCTGAAGAAGTAATACATAATTTAAGTTATAAAAAACATCCCTTAGATTTTATTTCATAAATTCTAAAAGTACCGTTTTACTATTATTAATTATAATTAATACTTATTATTATTTTTAATTTATAATTTACATTATAATTACAATATATATATATATCAATATATCAATATAATCAAAAAATAAAATAATAATTAAATTTGCTTGCTACTTTAACTTACTTTATTATATTTGTGGACCCCTCCTTAAAAAAATCCTGGTTGCGCTACTGACGCTCTCTACTCAAATATGGAACTATCATTTAGCACCTCTAGTTATCAAAGAACAGAGATCATCTTCAGCAAGTTTAAAATAAATTCTTAGTTTATGTAACATTGAAATTAAAGACCCCAATTATTTTTCTTGACTATACTCCTATTAAATATCTTTTACATATTGACACTTTTCCTCACACTGAATACTAGTAGACCAACATTTCCTTAGATCTCTTCTTCCCAACTCTATAGATGCTCCAGAACTTCTTTTTGTCATACATTTTAGAGTTTGTTCTCACACTATCAGAAATCCTTTTTTTTTTCTTCAAACGAACTTAAACATTTCCTGTGGACACAAAAATCATTCATTACTTACTTCAGATATTTCATGTCTCTAAAATAAATTTCTGGTGATTGTAAACTGCGCTCAAAAATACAGGTAAACACAAAATCACACATGTAAACTGCGCTCGAATTTTTATCAAATGTAAAAATATGACATGTAAACTGCGCTCGGATAAAATGCCAGGTAAAATACTTAATTCGTTACAGACATATAATATGAATAATTAAAAAAAATATAATTTTAAAAAGCAAAATAAATACAAATATTACAAATAATAACATTTGGTGGATACTTATTCCTCAATTGAAATTCGACCACTATTATATTTATTAATTAAATTTTCTAAGTTTTCACACTTTTTTTTTTTTTTGTTTAGAGTTATGGAATTTAAACGATTCATTCATACTATTTAGTTTAATGTATACTTCTATTTGAATTTCTTTTAACTTTCCTATGAACATGAAAATATTTGGATAAGTTATATAAAATCTACAATTAATATGAGAATGAAAAGACTCACATACATTTGTGGTTAAAGTTGTCTCTGCTGATACTTGAACCCATATTTCAGGTGAAGCTGAGCTTTTTCACTTATAATTACGTCTACCAAATAATCCGCAAATCGTGTCACTTTTTCGTCGTCAGGCTTTGATTTCATTAAATAATTGACAAAATACTTCCTGGACTTAGGAATGGTAAGCCGTAACATCAGAGGTGGATTTATCTTTTTTACGACTATAGGCACCAAAAATTTGCTGCCCCTATATAGGCGAAGAAGTTATAGTACCCCTTCCGAAACACCTAATCTAAATATTAAATATACAAACGTATGAACATTCGTTTGAATTTTTAGACTATTTTTTTCGCTTTAATTAATTAGTCTACTTTGAAAAAATGCCATTGGATGTTCCCCAAATTTTAATAAAAACAGATTTTCATAATAACAGCATAGGATTATTAACATACATTCGAATTAGTAGTATAGTGTGGCAGTGGGGATATTTATTTTTCCCCGAAATTCTGACGATAACATATTAACAAAATGCACCCATTATTATACAATTATTTTTCGTAAATATAAAGTAAATAATTTTCCAATTTTTTTGGCATACGTTAAATGTTTTCTAATAAAACATTACAGAATTAGCCGCCCCTAAACTTTGCCGCCCTAGGCAGATGCCTACAGTGCCTAATGGGAAATCCGCCTCTGCGTAACATTGATCAATCAATCTTCTAATATCACCATTTTTATTTTTACAGTCATTACTTAAACCATTTTGTTGGATACTTGAGACTGTACTAAATGAAAGCAACATACATAGAGACTTTAATAAGTCAAAATGTAATAAGTTAATAATTCGGGCGCAGTTTAAACTATACCTTTATAACATTTGGGCGTAGTTTACACTATACTTTTTAACATAGATAAAACTTCGGGCGCAGTTTATGTATGCCCTAAATTTCGAATTCCCAAGTTGTGAATTATCAATTATACTTTTAATATTTAATTATACGCTTAATTTAATAGTCGTGTAAGAATACATTAATTATTTATAATTAATAATTAATATGTAATTATTATAAATATGTTTTTTTTTTTAAATTTACTTTAATTCATATTGTACCCGTATATCTACAACGGCTTGTATATTGCCATATTGGCGTATAATGATAAATAATTAATTATTAATTATTAAATATTTAAATACAATAATAAAATATAAACTTCTTCTATATATTCAAACTTAAAAAATATAATAATCCTTATACATAACAATATATCAATATTATACTAAAAACCCATAAATGTAATCACTTGCTTATTAATTGAGTCTGTATGGAATAACTCCATGCAATAATAAATTCCAAATCTTATACCCAAATAGATGAAAGGATATAAATTAGGTTAAAACAAATCGTCGTCTGTAAAAATGTGTTAAAACTATTGGGCATGCGAATAAAATACTATTCAATCCTCACAAGAATGTCCTAGAAAAAGTAAAATTAGTTTATTATTGTAATGGTCTGTAATTCTTTTTATTATTGTTAGTTTTAAATATGCTTACAGATATTTCGTCATGGGGATCGAACTCCAGTATTTAGTTACAAAACAGATATCAACGCGAATGCTTTTCCCGAAGAAAAAGGAGATTTAACAAAGGTAAAAATAATTGATATAATTTTATCGATATTTTTATTATTTAATTTCAAAAGAAAACTTTAAATTTATAATCAAAGTTTTTCTATTTTAATTTAATTATGATAAAAACATCCGTACAATTTTATGATCATGATTACATTTGAATTAATTAATTTAGTATATTATAATTTATAATGTATTTAATATATTACTTCAGTAATGATCAAATAATTTCACCAAAAGAAGGATGGAAGTCTGATACTTTAACATACGTAAGCTATGATTTTTAAAAATATAGAACTACTTATTTTTATAGGATAAAGATATAAGGGTATGGTGAAATGAAGTATAACAGAATAGCTGACCTTAACTAAGTAACTTGTTCGATCATTATTTCTTGAACAGGTGCCCATGTCTCAGTTTACAACATTACGTTTGAGTTCATCAAGGAATAAAAGGTTAATGTAATTTAACAATAAAAAAAGTAGATATGTATTAATGTAGGTCATATAATAAAATAACATATTATGTAGGTAGCAGCAAAAGAAATGTGTAAAATTATTATTTTTTATTTGGTGATTAATTTATGCTAATAAGCTAAGTTATGATATTGTGTAATATTAGAAGATACATAAATATACCGTAGAGATATTAGGCACAATGATACACACAGTGGTGGATTCAGAGGAGCGGCACAAAAGCACATGCCCCCCTGTCAATTTTCTATCGACAATTTTTTTTATGTTACTACGAGTACCGTTTAAATGAAAAATAAAATAAATAAGAACGATACTACCTATAAGTATAATAATTATTTAAATTTAAACTGGATAGATATGTTTGCTAAAAAATATAAATGAAGATTTCAACTCAACCTATAAAACTATAAAGTGTGAGAATCTATAAAGATATTTTTATTTATTAATGCTTACATACATGAATAATAACTTGCCTATAGGTATAAATTATTATCTTGGTGTGTGATATTATGTAATCAACATTATAATAAATATATTAAGAATTTTGTTTAAAAATAATAATATGTACTATTAATTATGATTAAAGAATCATTATAAAATTTAAATGTACCCCCTCTATCAAAATATTCAAGATCCACCACTGGATAAAAATGTGTTGAAACAATAATATTTTATGAATTTAAAACTATATTCGATAAAAAAGTTGTTGGTTCTTGATCCTGTCCAAGGGAATGATTAATGAATGTGAAATTAAAGTATGTTTTTTATATGCTTTGATAGATTTTTATTAAATAAACTTGTGTGTATTTGTGTTTATACGCATTTGAGAGATTTGAGATTAACTATAAGTATTATGTTTCAAGATCATGATAATCTCTCAACCCTTACCTAATTTCACAACTCGATCAACTCATGTTTTACTCACACAATATACCAATATCTCAAAGTCATGTCATAAATAAAATATTTTAAAATATATTCAGAAACTGTTTAACATATTTCTACATTTATTTTGACTCAAGAAAATATTTTTATTTATAATATTTAAGAAAAAATTTACACTTTTCCAAATATTTAAAACTACTTATCAACTGATAAACTATTTTCCTTACGTATGTTTAACGTACAATTGTACAGAATGAGGAATTAACTTAAAACTTATAAAATTATTAAATTGTTTTTGTACTAATTAATTATATAAATTATATTTATATTAGAAGAAAAAAAATGAGAATAAAAAACAATAAAAAAACCCATTAATATATTAGTATAACGTGTTGTAATTTCTACATACATATTGTTAAATGTTAGAAAGGAAAACAGCACATGTATCAAAAAGGAAAATTTTTTCGACGTTTATACAATGGATTCATAAGTGATTTGTACTTGGACAGTGAGATAATTATCAAAACTACCAAAATGAAACGAACATTCATGTCAGCAGCATTGGTTTTAGCTGGAATGTATCCTCCAAAAGATTATCAAAAATGGTCGGAATTGGAAACAGTATGGCAACCTATACCGATTTCCAATGACTCACCGGAGAACATATCAGTACGTATATACGTTCACTTATTATTTCTAAAATCATACAAAATGATTAACTTATGCGTTCACGATTTTCAAATTATGTAACATATTTATATATTTAAAGTATACATTTTCTGAACCGTTATCCGTCAGTATGGTAATATAAGTATGAGAGACTCAGGACAAATGTAATATGTTGCATTTGATTTCATATTTAAAAAAAAATTGTACAGATATTTTATTTTTAACACAACTATTTGATAAAGTAACATAATATCTATTAAATTATACTAAAAATCTGATAAAATATCAAACCTTGGCAATAAATTTAATTTAAACAAAAGTATTACAATTTTCCTCAGGTCTGAAACAATTGTAAAACAACTTGAGATGAAATCTAACACATCCTTTAATTCCATTTTTAAATGTAACTATACAATTTAATAAATCAAAAATCAAATTTTATAACCATAGAGACCACAATAACATATATATGGTTGATGTAAGTTAAATTTAAAACAAAAATATAACTCCAGACAATGGGAACCTATACCAATTTCATGGTTTTAACTTTTTTGACTAAAAATAATAATTTATAACTACTTCTTTTTACAATTTTAAAATATTAATACATCAATTAGGTAGGTAGTTAACACAATATCAACAAATACCTAATTGCTTTATAGTATTCACATACACATGAGCTGTGAATATTTGGTTTGTACAATCTTCGTGTGCCCAAAGTTTACATTTTTTTTACTGTCTCTATATCTGCTATTACAGTTGGTCGCTTAGCACATGCCAAACAAAATTTTTCTTCTTCTTTATTGTTATCGCTATATCTACTGACTTAATTTTTATAATTTTTTTTTGATTTCTTAAGTTTTTTTTTTTGCTTTTATTTTTTTCAAAATCTGTTTATTTTGTTCATTAAATTTTGTCCTTTTTTCAATCTTTATTTTTTCAGGTGTATCAATAATTACTGCACTTTTTCCTTTTCTTTTTCTTCCTTTATTTTTCATTTTATCTTGTTATGCTGCTTTCGAATCAGGGGCGTATTTTAGGGGGTGACGAAGGGAGCAATTCCCTCCTCTGAATCCGTATTTAAGGAATCGATTATACGAGTATGTGAAATACACATTACAAATTTTTTTAATGTGGATAATCTTATAATGAAATCATATTACGCGTGGCTGTGAATACTGAATTGGGCTTTTTATCGGGTCCATACTTAGAAAAAAATCAAATAAAATACAAGCGTAAGTTTCAAACCGCATACAGGTATTAAAAAATAACTACACAATAGTCGATTCTAAGTGGATCCAACATTAGATTAAAAAAAAACCACAAATATTAATTAATTACAAAAATTCACACGATTTAAATATTACCAAAATTTTACTTGTAAATTTTGAGCCTGAATTAAAGATAAAATTTGAGTCGCTCTTGTTTCGAATATGGTTTAATATGTTACTGATATCTATTATCGTGTTGTAATCAACCACAGTAATTTAGTTATTATTGCCCCCAAACAGAATTTATTTAATAAATGCAATAACAATTGTTGAACTCACCTGTAAACTTACTTAATTATAGTTAAATCATAATCTACAGATATGTAATATTAATAACATTAAAGAATTATAAATATATTTATATAATCTAATAGCGTTATACTACAAATGAAAAAAAAAATTCACTTTTATGTATCAAAATCAATTTTACATATTATTTGGTTAACAATACTCGATAATGCCAAGCTTAACAGAAAAACATAACAATTTGGACACATGATACATGTATAACCGATTATTATTATTATTTGTATTATTTGTGGAAGATTTAATATAAATTAAATAAATATTCAGTCTTGGAATAAGGCAAATATTCAGCCTGTTCAATTGACCCATGTTATTTTTGCTCCCGGTTTCCTCTATTAATAATTAATATTATTTGTATAGCTCTATGACAGCAAGAAAACATGTCCATCACTTTATAAGGAAGTTCAAAAGGTGTTTCCTAAATTAAAGAGTCGTGAAAACGAGCCCCAAATATCAGAGTTACTCTCATATTTGTCGGAAAAATGTGGAAAACAAATTACGACTGAAAATTTACCACTACTATACGATCTATTTTTAAGTCAGGTGGATTAAAAATGTTTTTAATATCATCCCATTGTTCATTTTTAAGTATGACATTATTTTATTTCTAAAGATGGCCAACGGTTTACAACTACCAGAATGGATCAAACCTAATCATATTCAAACAATCGAATCAATCGTGTCATCCAAAGAAATTTTAAGATTTATATATCTAAATAAAAAAATACAAACATTGTACATAGGTAATAAAAATATTTGGTAGTAAAAACTAATCTTATAAATTAATAATTATTTACATAAGTCAATCAAAAACACAAAATATTATCATTTTATTATTAAATATATACTATGTAAGGATAATCTTATTTTTAGGTCCAAGTTTCAGATATTTCCCAATATTTTTTTGCGCTAGAATAATTTTATTTTTAACAATTTATAATCAGAAGTTAGTACTTAGCTTTAGTAAGTACAAATTCTAATCCAAAAAAAAAATAAATCATCTCAAAAATTTAATATTTAAAAATCATAGATTTTACTTTATTTAGATTAATATGATAAATCTATTGTAAAATGTTTCCTATAGTTACAAAAATGTCTTGCTTGATGTATTGTATTAGAAATAAAAATAAAAAATATTGAAAAAATTATCACTTTTTTAACCATAAATTGCATTTATTTTAAACAAATAACTAAGAATCTCTTTCATATTATATTTAAGCACCTCTGCTAAAAGAAATAAGCTTGAACATGGAATTACGATCAAATGACTCCAACTTGAAATCAACAAGAAAAATGCATCTTTATTCAGGGCATGATAACACCGTAATGACGGCTTCGGGTTATCTTCATAGTGATATTATCGGATCTGTTTATTTTGGTGCATCACTACATTTTCATTTATACTTTGATAATACGAATGGATATACTATAAAGGTATGACAATTTAATTTTTATCAATTTAATTAAAAAGAAATATGTTGAACTACTGCTAAAGTCATATTCTAATATCTTTTAAATAAACAAATTTCAAATGCTTATATATTTTAATAAATAACTAAATTATTGAAAAATATAATAATATTTTTATATAAGTTTTGATATTTTATTTCACTTTTGGTTGAATTTATTTTAAATTAAAAAAGTATTAAGAATTTTAGAAAATGATAGTGTATACAACCATATTCCTTTTATTTCGTAATAAATTGTTTAGTAAATTGAATTATGATAAAGAAATAAAATAAAAATAATGAAATTATTTTTATCTTTGAATATTATTTAAAGTTTTTAGGTTTCATAATATTCACAAATAAAAACACATTTTTAGAGCATGCAACTGTTAATTTACCTGGATTTTTTTTTTTTTTTTTTTTTTATTAAAAATATAAGCTATCAGTGGGAAAATTAGTGACACAAAAATATTTTAATACATTTTTATTTTAGTTATTCTACTATGGTCGATGGGACGATGAAAAAGGAGAAGAAGTTCCAATTCCGAGTTGTGGTAATCCTTGCAAATTACAAGACTTTACAACATTTATAAATGAAATTTTCTCCCCAGAATGGGGAAAAGAATGTCAGGATGTATAAATTTAATAACATACATTTTGCATAATTATATACAAAATAATGTGTTATACCAACAAAATACTTATATTGTGTCATATGAAAATTTTCTTATCTTCCTCGATTCTAAAATTGTAAGTTTTGTTCTTAAATAGTTCGTAACTTATTATTGTGTGTAATTTATTATTTAGTAACAATTAATAATTCATTATTATATAAGGAACTGGAAGAAATTAATTAAGCTTGTAAAGCAGACTGGTGTGCAGTGCGTATTGTGCACGTGCCAAACTCGGTTGAATGTTTGTATTACATAAAGGAAGGTCAAAACCCAAATTTTGTGTTAAATTTAATCTCTTGTGTCTCAATAGTTAGTTTAATTTGTTGAGATATGATATTCATTTATTATTTTATTATGATGATTATAAGTTATTACCACAAGTATAATAAGATGACATATATATACACAATATATATTATACATATAACATTATTGTTTAAAATATGAATATGTGTTTTTTGAAATATAAAAGCTTACTTTTACGCCCTAAAAAATAAATTCTTTCCTTAGTAAGTTTTATTATGATGAAATTTACTCAAAAAAAAATTTATTTTTAATTTTTTAAGGACATTTTCATGGTAAAATGCTTTTTTTAAGGGCATTTTTGGCTGTTTTTAGTGTATTGTCGTATGAATTGTAATACAATAATGCCTTATAATCCCTAGTAAAAGCCTATATAATAATAATAATAGGGCGATGGTAACTTGTGCCACCAATAGCACATATAATTTAGGTGGAAAAATGCATACGATAAGAGCATATTGTGAATCAATCAATAATCAATCACAATCGACAATGGTGCAGCAGTCGGTCAGCAATGTAATACATTCAGTACTTTCATTTACAGCAATGGCTCTCAACCGGGGTGATATGGTCGCAGTGTAGGGGAGAGACGAAATCTCCACGGGAAAAGGAAATAAATAAGAAAATAATTAATTTTAATAAAATCATTTTACTACCACAACTGTCATGTAATTAGCATACCTGTATGCTGTACCCCTTGTATCTTTATATTATTTATATTTATTATTTAGATCCGATAAACACGTTCCGTATTATTATTAACGCGTAATCGTTGCATTATAGATTATTTTATCGATTTAACCAGGATCGTCAGTCAGTTATTTTGCAGTTACTAGATATATAGTATTATTATAGTACAGATATAGCAAATACATGGCACGCGAAAATATTTTGTGGGCACGTGAAAAGTTTTACTATTATATATTATATAATATAAATAATTAACTAACCAATATTATTATTATGTACCTAAACTAACCTTTTTATACTAATACATTACAATTAAATTATAACAAAAATTATAATCAAATTATAATATAACAAAATATAATATTTTTAATATTTTTTTCATGGCACGCTCAATAAAAAAAAAAAAAAAGGGAATTTTGGGCAAGCAGTGTTCAAAAAGTTTGCCATCCCCGTTATAGTATATTATAGCTCTACAACTCTAGAAGATAATATAAAACTCGGTATTTCCACCATCAGCCCTTGACTTCCTCAACATTGTAAAAACTATTAGGGACCAATTTCTCATCGTTATTTATATAAATCATTAATATTTTTTCTCTTTTTTATTTTTTTTAGTTTGCAAGTTTAAACTTTAAAATGTCTATGTTTATTGAACCCTACAACTCAATAAATTGTTGGTGTACTTATTATTTTTCTGTGTACGGTGTTTTTTTTTTTTTTTTGTTATTTCAAGAATAGAATAAGTATTCTAAAATATACAATTAAGGTTATTTATTATTTTGATGTTAGGGTGACGCGGTGTTTGATTCTAGTGGCTAAAGGTGACATGAATGAGAAAAGGATGAGATCACTGTTCTACAGCAAATTTTCCATTGCCGATATCTAATAATTGTTTTGAGAATGTGTCAGTGTATGGATCTTGAAGCATTTGAACACGCATATTTACTTTTAGCTATAGTTGCCACAATGGCGATGATTCCAAACAAGCGTTAATCTCATCAGCGTACGTTGAACGTAAAATAACAGAAAGTGTTATTATTTGATCGCATTTTTGCGAAAATTAGCGAAATGAGATATGGTTTGACAGTTCCACTTGGATTGACTACATACACTGGGTCTGAAATGTTTGATTTGAATAAACCTGGGCACGCTTTAACTAGTGTTCTTTGCTTACGTTTTTTTTTTTTTTTGAACCCATGTCAAATAGCGTGTTACTTCGGAATACAGTAATGTTAATGCAAAGGCACTAAAAGTATCCGCACAATTACACAATTCGAAAAATTCGTAAATGTAATTTTTGGTGGATTTATATCAAAACCAAATGCTGTCCAGTTTGCAAAAAATACTCGCTGTCCGTTCTCAAGATGTACGGCTAAATTTATAACTGTTGGGTCTCATCCATGAATCGAGAAACCAAAGATACGCCAGACAGCTTCTTTGGAGCTGATGTACCTACCAAGTTCGTAGAGAGTTATTTCATCGTTGTTATTCAACAGAGGAGTATTCACATTGGTATTTTCAATTCGAAACACAGCTATATCACTACCTTTATTCACATACATGCAAATGTATTGTATATTTCTATACAATAGATTAAGGTTAGGCATTTTGGTTCGATGTTACATTAATTGCGCTTTGATAATATATTCTATGCAAAACTTTTGCATTCGCTCGTTTTACTATCGGATAAGCACAACAAAAAAATATAGGCTTGTTCGATTACGAATGTAGGTATAATACAATTTTTACTTATGAATATTATAGAAAACAGTATACTATTAATGGAACGCTAAATAGCACGGACCATTAATCTGTTACCTTTTTACTACGATTGAAATCCAATTTGGAAGCTTGCTACTTGCCGTATGATGTTAAACTCAGAGTTCATTCATGGCGACAGTTGTTATAAGAATTAATTACATATAATAAGATATAGACTGTAAAATTAAGTTACATAACTGTTTTGTATAAACTAAATTAAGAATAATAATGATATTTGAAGTGTTATTAGTTAAAATGTTATTATGTTTATTATGTTAAAATACTTTTAATTAATTTAATTAAAATATTTTTTTTTAACCGGCAATACACACGCCACCTAAAAACGCCATTAAGCAATAACTCAGGTGGTGGATCGCCATCATTAATTGAAACAATCAAAACACGACAAAAACATTTTAAGGTGACTACGAAACAATCCTCATCTTAAGATTAACCTCTTACAAAAAGATTTCTAACTTGACCTAACCTCCAGTGATTTAGAAGTACCTTCTACGAAGGCTAATGGAATGCATTTTGGTTAGATCAATGCTTCTCGAACTGCGGGCCAAGCTATATTACTGGATGTATGAGCTTTTACTGCCAATGGCGGCAGGCTGGAACTGAAATAGGTCATACTTTACAAATATAATAATACTCCAGGCTAAGCTTTTATTTATTTATATATTAATACAATATTATTAGATACATATTTCTAATACCTCGTTTGATGTACGTATTACGTAAAGGAAAAAAAATTGATAGTTGATTCTGGATTTTTCAAAGTTCCACACACTTCTCCGTCACAGCACTTCCGACGATTACCATTATCACGCCGTTACATTACCTTTTTCAAACTAGTAAACTCTTACTGTAAGAGGTTACTCGAAGAGTTGTGTTGACCGTTGGTGAATGTTTGCTTAATGTCTTGTCCATATATTTTCGTTTTGATATTATTCGTTCTCGTCTCAGATAGCATCCGTGGTTAACATCATTATATAAATAAATATCATTGGTACCATGTATTTAATTATAGGTATTATAAAAGTGAGTCAATAATAATAATAATAGTATGAATAAAAATAATTATTATGTAAATATTGTATTTAAATACGCTTAGTTGTATCGAAATATGTATTATTCTATTCTATTTGCAACGGACTATTGAGGCGATCGCATCTCATGTGGATTTCCCAGATGTGCAGTGAAAAATGTGAACACGTAAGCCTATTAAATGGATGAGGGGTTGGTGGTGGTTTCTATTTTTTAAAGTCATCTCTCGCCCGGGAAGGAAAATTATCAATGACCGTATTGGAACCAAAAAAAGTGACGTGTTTAGTAGATGCAGCTATTAATTACATTTTTGATCACGGTACATTGAAATGTTTGTATAATTTGGTACTATAACTTGTATACACTGTTGTTTTATAAAAACATAATCACTTTTTGAAAGAAATGAATATCTATGGAGATATTTTAATTGGAATATTACTATGGGATGTACTGTACATTCGGAGCTTCCTTATTATATTTCTATTTTTCATTGTTTTAGGTTTCATCTTTATTTATGTACAATTTGAATGTAATTTGTTTGCTTCCATGTATTGGCATAATGTGCATAATACATACAATATAATATTATTTTTTTAATTATTAATTATTTGGAGTCATACAAAGAATATTATACATACCTGAAGGCATAAATAGGAATGTGGAGAGGAAAGGGGTGTATATACTTTACTACTAATGGTCACAATAATATATTATAGACACCACGGGGTTGAATGTGACCTGTTTCCCGTGGTGCTTTGCAGACGTCGAATTATCACAGGAGGGCGGGTTTTGGCAGCCTTGAGAAATCTCGCCGGAGATGCAATTCGCACGGTGATCCACCGACTGCATTTCCCGACGACGGCTGTTTCTAGCCTTCCTGGTATTTCTTCCAGTAAAATCGCCTCGCCACGAATTTGAAGCATTCGTATTATATTTTCGCACGCTCAGAAGTATATCGATCATGTCTATTGTTTGCCGAGACAGAGGAACGTTGTCCGCATATCCGGTGACTGAGTAGCTTTTCAGTTTTTCGTACACTTGTTTTGGGGCATCAATAACCTATACATAATAACCCAAAATACGTTTAGCATAACATGGTAGGATTTACCGGAAATAACCGGTAGTAGTATTGTACAGGTATTAAGACCCATGAACGTGAATAGAACAGGGAGAGTTAGGAAAGCATAGCGCTCAAGCTCTCCCAAAGGCCTAAGAAATGAATGTAAAGTGAATGGAAGACAATACTTTGTTTTCGAAACATTTAGAATTATTATTTACGTTCATGGCTACGACGATAACAATAATAAGTCACAATGCCGTGCATAAGTTTTGCACCGTTCGCACACAAAAAAAAAAAAAAACATGAGAAATATTTCAACAACAATCAACAAATAGAAAAAAAACAGAATCATTACTTATGGTTATGCTTTCAATGACGTATGTTATATAATTAATATTACTTTTTCAAGTTTTGGTGCGATTATGGTCAGTAAAACGCAGAGACATTCCAACGAATGCGCGTCGTGTATCTGCATGAACATGTCGATGGTACTCATTACGGTTTTGAACATTTGGTCCCGCATGAACAGTTCACCCATAAACCTGCGAAACACGTTGCGTACAACGATTAAAAAAGGTCCATATACTGCTATAATAATAAGGATTTCAATGTAAATTGAAGTTGTTTTCCGAATGTCACAAGGTTCGTTTCATATACCGGTGAATTAAAAAAATAAAACATTTAACAATTAACCTTGAACGCTTAGATAGATTTTTTTTTTGTAAAGAATTTTTTTCCTATTTTTTCGAATATTCAAATCCGTTACTAACACTTTCAACTCGATAATGTTTACCTGCACGTTCCATGCATACGGTCACGAACGTTTACGTCAAAGCTCTGTTCCAATCGCCTTGGATCCTGAGGCTGCAGAGCCGTTCTTATATACGGCAATACGCCGGCTCCTGTCAACACTTCCTTGCAAGATCGTATCAGCTTGATTTTGAACGCGCTTGACAACCCTTGACGTATGAACCTCCTTGAGCCCATACAAGCTTCTTCGATCACGTGACAACACATTGTCGCGTATATGACGCAGTTTTCGGGCTCGTCAATCGCCTGCAAATGGAGAGTTAAATAATGCCTCATAATAAATAATGAATTATTAAAAAATAATTAATAATTGAAACTATTTAATTTAAAAGTGGGAAAACGCTAAATATGTTCCCGACGCTACTGTACATTTGACACAACACAATCCGTGATCATCTTCAAGTAAAATCCATTCACGCGGTCCGCTTGTACGAGTACATCGAAAAACCGTTCGGCGCTTTCCCGAAACGTGTCCCATGTGACATTTTTCAACACCGCAGAAGCTCTGCTGACGTACTCGTTTTTCTGCAAACAATGTAAAAATGTAATTTTTGGAGTATTAATATCGACATAATGCGATTACAATAAAAGCGTTTAATTGTTTCACAATCAACGCGACGGGACTTTATTTCTACTACTATACGCTCGTGATAGCATAACAATTTATCATAGTATTTTTGCATTAACTCAACATAAACTGCGTTAATTCGGTATGATTATTATCCAATACATCATGCCACTCGAGGTGGTTTCTAATTACCTTGTATGGTTCGAGGACATTGCAAGATTTCATTGGCTGCTCATTAAAATCGATTACGGGTAACTTCGTGAAAAATGGTATGTGGTTCATAGTTTCCGGAGGTTGAGTGTCCGATTTTACGGTAGGCTCGATGATCTCATTTCGACTCTGTGGGTCACATCGTTGATTTTCACTAACCGACTCTTTTCGAGCAACTACATTTTCGTTAGTGACAAACGCTTCTAATTCGTGCAACAAGAGCGTTTTAACCTGCTGCATGCACGTCTACAAGTGAATACGATTTAAGTGTTGTAAAACATTAATTATAATATGTTTACCATTAAGATATGTACTCAAGGCACTTACCGAGTTTACGGAACCATTGGTCGAAGCACTGTACGGTCCGCATTCGAAGATCATTTTCCATTCCGTTGGTAAATAACTGACTGTAAGTACTAACCGCAACTTATTACTTTTCATATAATCGCACAGTTCACTCGGAATATCCATATCTGGGTCGACCAGTACGATATTCTCGTCTAACGCTTTCCTCACTGGTTTTCCAGCCACTCGTTCCTTGCACAATTCGATCTGTGCAAGCACACGCGTGTGTTCAAAATAACGAATAATTAAGAACAGTGAGTACATTGTAACACATTTAAAGACGCATCGTAATAATTTCACTAACCTCGGAGTAAATGTCTTGCAACTTACTACTCGATTCGGGGCTCTTGTCACTTCGGACTAACCAGTTCGATGACGATGTCCGGGCCGCGTTAGTAGTGTAGCCACAAAATACTTTAAGCTTGTGCAAAACATCTCGTTTGCACTGGCGCACGCACGTCTAGTGAAAACAGTTAGATTGAACAATACAAACAGCCGATATAAACCCGTTTCGATATTCATTATACAACAAGGAATGGGCAACTGACGGCTTGCGTACTTTTTTTTCTATAGCTTATATAGCTATAGTTTTGGGTAAGTATTGTATTGGTTTAATCGTAAAATTAAATTATACAAAATATATACTGATTGTCAATTTAAATGACTTTTTTATTTTTTACTTTCATTACTCTGGTCCGCTAGATTTTAAAATTATATAAATTGATCTTCTACCTACTTTGAGTTGTCTATCCCTGCACTGTACAATAATTATAAATAATTTATACGTACTGATTCGTCTAAACCGTTCACCGAAGCGATTTGCGAGCCAATACAATAACTGACTTCCAATCCCGTTATATTATATACGATTATAAGATCCAATGAACATTTCATGATTACCGATAAATCACGAAGCTGTTCATCGATCGTGCGTTTCCGCATCTTGTTCATGCAATACATCGCCATATTTCTCTTCAATGATTTTGTGGCATTAGATTCTTCACTGATCATGCTACTAGAATCCATCGCGTTAAATTATAGCACTGTCCGGTATTTTATAGAAACAGAATATATATAATTGTTTAACAATTGAGAATATTATAAAAATCTCTGTAAAGTTTTTTATAGTATCCGTGCAAGTCGCAGAATTATATAATTCAAACTTCTTCAAATCAGCAACAATCAAACATTCGATCTATCAACAGATTAACCAGAAAAGTATATAGTTGTTTAATTTTATTTATTGTGGCCAACTACTTCAATAAACGTGAATTATATACGATTTATAATGATAAAAATAATAATACAATTTAAATTTATTCAAACCCTTGGGATTCGCCAACAACTTTTTCAGGGTCGCATCATGTGAAAAAAAAATTATTTCAAATCAACAACTGCAAAAAAGTCATTAAATTAAAAAAAGATTGAGAATTGCTGCTATACAATAGTTTCACAGTATACAATTTAAAATGTAAATAATTAATACAAATAACACACATATATGTGGAAATATATACAGTGTATATATTTAATAAACATGATACGGTTTTAAAAAATTTTAGAGAACTTGACTTTAAATCATACATTTTAATAATTTTATCAATTTTTATATTTTAACTAATTATTGAACAATTACACTTGAACTTGTATTTAGCTTATAAGGCACAATCTAGTACATTATTTACCAGAAAAATAAATAATTCAATAGGCGTACGATAAGACTTCGGTGTATCTGTACTAAAAGATTCCTATAAAACGGTAAGCAAATTTTTGGTTTGAACAAACGATTTTCTCGGATCAATTATACCGAGTAAAACGTTAATGCATTGATGCTCAAGTTGACAATAAGAATTATACGTAGATATATAAATATAAACCAGCAAAGGAAAAAGTCGGATCACACTTGACATTGGTGCAAATTATATCACATAACAATAAAACAAAACACTATTCATGGTATTTTAAACATTGCGAATATCATGATCTTAAATGATTAATATTAGAATATATAAAAAGAATAACATGAAAAGTTCTTAATAGTCGAGGTGCGGTTATATAATTATTTATTAAACTAATACATGTTATAGTATACAATACCTACAACATTAATATTCGTAAGCATTTTCATAATCCTTTGAAAATTTAAACTACTAACATATATATAATATATATTTAATAATATTAATTAAATTCAAAATTGGTTCTTTAACGTTAAAATATAATTAACATTCATAAAAACCTAATCGTATAATATGCATATTACGAGTATATCAAGGCAACATTTTCAAATTCTACGTGTCCCTTAATCTGTATGTATATATTTTTTTAGCTATCTTACTTTTATGAAGATATTCATATTAAATCGAAAAGTCCCTTATCATTTTTTCTAAATTATAAATTAAAATTACATGTACTATTTCGCACACAACTTGATTATTAATATGTGTATTAAATGTTAACGTTTTTCAGTGCACTTTTGAACAAATCGTGTTACGTTATTAAACTTTACGCATGCGTAAATGCAAATAAATCGAGGCCCGAAGAAAATGGTTTGAATCAGAGTTTCCCAAAGTGTATACCTTAGTGTGCCGTGGGGCAATCTGGTTCTACCAGATGTATGTGATTATTGAGAAACTTATTTTATATTATTTAAAAAAAAATTGTGTTATAACTTAATTTTGATAAAGAGTAATCATTAACAATATCCATTAAAAAAAATTTTTAGAGTAATGGTTTTACTTTTTTTTTTTTTAGAAAAATTAGAGGAATTAATGACATTATTAGGGATTCGCGAAAAACAAACTATTTTTTAAGGGTTCCGTGAATGTAAGAGTTTGGGAACCGCTGGTAGATGAAATAAATATAGTGACGGTTCCCGGTTTGAGAAGCACTGAGCTTCGTAACCTCGCGCACACGGTCGTCGGGGGTGGTGGTAGGCGCTGTTCGAACGGCCGACACGTAAACGTTTCGGTGCGACCGCGTGCGAGCTCGCGTGTCGTCCGCAACAAGTCCCGTTGGATTTTTCGCGGCCGGACGCGAGTGCGCGATGGCTCTCAACCGTGGCTGTAACGTCGTCGCGTTCGTCTGCTCGGCCGTCCTGGTCGTCGGCGTCGGCTCCGGGTGCGCGGACCATTACCCGCGGCCGGTGCGACGCGAAGTCGTCGTCGGACTCGGAGAATTCGCCGACGACTCGCTGAAATCGGTGACCGTGGTACGTATACAACGCGGCGGTGTGGCCTCCGCAAAGGTATCGTTCACAACCCTCTATGCCCGGTGCCGTGGTTTTGGATTTTTTTCGCGGGGGGTTGGGGTTTCAGGTTTTTTTTCCAAATTTACCGAATAATATTACGAATAATACACGAGGTACGAATTTATATTAGCCATTATTCTATTATTATCATGACCGCAAATGAAAAGTCGTTTACAACCACGTGATATAAATTAACGTTATCTTTCACTGTAGCAGGCCGTTAGATCGAACTTTTTTTCCTTCTGGTGGGTGGGGCCGAAACCCGGGAACCCTATCCCGAAAATACGCCACTCTGCGCCTGCCAATAGTACGTCCACTTGGGATAACGTGTTGTATATACAATCGTATATGTATGCTACGGTCGACAACTCTTGCGATCGGTCGATCTGTTTTTAGCTAGACGTTTTGTCTCGTGACGAGGCGGCATAACCGTTATACATATAACGCGGAGCGGTTACCATCATCCGTGCGACTGATTCCACTGTTTATTGCCGTTGGCCAGCAATAGCCATGGTTTTTTCTAGAGATAACTTGTAGTTTTTCCTACGCATTGTTGTTGAACATTTTTATCACAAAAACTACAGTTAAAAAATTATGATAACTCCATTGTTATAACTTACATAAACATCGGCACCCTGGGCGGTCTTCCACCCCTAAGACCAGACCAAGGTGCGTCACCAAGTACTTATATTAAATTGCTCAAAACGTATCGATGTTTTTGACCTGACTGACAAAAATGTATAGATATTCGATATAATTTCTACGATGGATAATTATAAAAGTTACCTGTTATGGAAATTTATCATTATTGTTATTCTGATTTTAACCTGTATTAGGTACAGCACTTGTTTTCAATGTACGCTGTTTAAAATTAATAAAAACTATTGATAAATTAATGGTGAGTACATATTGCACAATTGTTATTGTAAAATACGCCGTTGATTTATCGATAGTTTCGTTGTTTTTTAAGCAGTATATATTGAAAACCATATACGTAACACACTTTATTTGTGGGATCAATTTTTTTATCTATTTATGTAATCAAATAGACTGTTATATTTTCTTAATTTACTAATTTAATTTAATAAAATATCTAATATATTTTATTATAATGTTTTTAATATCATAAATAAATATTTAAAATATATAGTATTTTATAGGCTTATTGATGACAAGCTCAGTCAAAGGAATTATTAATATTACTAAAGATCAAAAGCCAAATATAAGTACAACACAATGTTTTTATTTTTATACATGGAGACATAAGTTGCAAAAAGTATTGATGAATTAAAAATTGTACTGGATCAAGTTATGAAAAATGGTAAATTTTTATAAAATTAACCCTAAAAAAATTCGATTATTTGCTCAGTTATATTAATCAACGGTTTCTTTTTTTATGATAATTATGATTATCCTACTATGATTATTCGTACAAAAATAAACTGGTTATCAAAAGGTCAAATTTTATTACGTTTTTATGAACTCAGAGAAAAACATTTGTTATGAAATCGATGAAATATGCTGATTATCAATGCAATAAATTTCAATTTTTGAAACTATCATATTTAGCTCATATTTTTGAACACATAAATTAATTAAATATAAGCATGTAAGGTGTAAGTCTAAACGTATTCATGTTTACAGATAAAATAACTGCATTTAAATACAAATAATTGATTAGGAAAAGTAAATGATAATAGTTTGGATAGGTACAAATTCTTTCACTGATAAAACTATATTTACTGGTAAGATTATACCAACTATCAATATCTCAACAGTATTACTTTACAAAAAACTAAATTATTAATTTTTAACTATTGAATTAGATTAAATTAGATTAGATTAGATAGAATTGTGTAAGTATTCCGCTTAATCTAAGTTTGAAAAACACGCAGCTTTCTTTAATAAAGAATGAAGAACTTGGAGAATTAAAAAAATATATAGCACTCACAAAAAAAAAAAAATGTGAACATTTAGTTGAATAAGCTCGAATTATGTAAATTTTGAATATACACAAAAAAGAGTATTGAAATTATTGAATTATTATTGAAATTAGCTTATTCCGTGTTATCACCATTTTCAGTATCTACTGTAGTAGGGTCGATTAGTCTGAACGCAGGCTAATCCGAAATACGTGGTAATCAAAACGCGCTTGAGAATTATCGATGTACAATATATGTACATAGTAATGGATTTCAAAAAGGGGCCTGAGGGGCCTCAAATTATCTAACTAAAATCTAACTTATGTGTTCAAAAATATGATAAATAGATTTTAGTTAGAATTAGCTTTGCTTAATATCCATAAACAATTTTATGTAATGTCTGAAGACGTGTTAGAAGTGTTTTCAAAATCTAATCCAAGACTACAATTTTCTTTAGCATTATAAATTTCATACTATATTATACTTTATTATAAGTTAAATATAATCTTTAGTAAATAGAAAATAAACATTTAAAATTACTGTCTATTCCTTTATATTTATCAATAACTGAAAGAAATTAAGTTGGCTGCCTTATTACTATTATAAGAATAAGATTGGATTGGAGTAGGGAGATTACTTTAAATCCAAATGATAAACAAGCTCAAAGGTTCTTTAAAAACAATATTTTAATAGTGTAGTGGTTTAGTAACACTTTTCTACAATATGATACTACCTTATAAACGTACAATACAACACTAAGCAAAACGTTGAGAACTCTAAAAGATGATCTCCCAAGTGCACCAACAAATATTTTCTATCAGACATAAAATAGTTGATCAGAATAATCCTTCTGGTCGAAATCGTATTGACAGAAACAAAAAATGAATAAATAATTAAATTATAGAAACTAGTATATTTAATATATATTATAATATAATATGGTTAGTATTATTGCTGCAATTACACTAATTTGAGCCCGCGTGAAAATAAAATTAATGCACCCCCCCCTCGTCCGAATTCTGCAGGGAAATTGTACCTTTAATAAATTGTAACCAAACTAAATATTTTGAATTTCAATTATTCAGTACGTGAAAAAAATTTTGATATATAATAATGTGTACAAAATAGAATTGATTAATTATTGTTCAATCACCATTAATAATTATTATTACAAAATGGTTTCATTTTTTTGCTTTCTACATATTTTTAAATATTATCATTGGGCTCTATTATAGCCTGAGGCTATGGGCCTGTGTATTTGACACACGCAACACACCCGATTGTTGAGTCACTTATTGATATTCATAAAATTCAGACATCCCAAGTTTCATTAAAAAAAAACTAATTAATAATTGTAATCTTAACACTTGTATTCAGTATTGTGATTATCTAGATACATTTATATAAATAAATTATCTACATAAAAATGTTTGTTATCTTTATCTTTTCTAGATAATAAAAAATGAACCGTTGAAAGTTATTGAAAAAGTTATCCGAGATAAAAAAATCACTCATCTAGATAATTTTTTTTTTCTCAAATTTGAATCGAAACGACCATCTGGGTCTTTATCGATGTCTTTTTCGCTTGGGAAGGGTAGAGTGTACTAAGAGGCACTTGTACCC